ATATATGTACAAAAAAACTTCAGTGAAATACCCCTCAGTATTGCCAACATATTGTCATTTTGACTTTTATCTTTAAAAAAAACAGATTTTAGGTACCCATTTTTTTAAAATTAATTTGGAAAAATATTTTGGAATTGAATCTACTGCTCAGATATTTTACACATTCTGGCAACTCGGCTTTCTGTTTTATAACCCTGAAATTTGATAAATACTTTGTCATCAAATGTCATTATTAGGCAATTTAATCCATCTGTCAAAATAGAAAATTCAATATGGCGTGGCGGCCAAGCAAGTTAGTTTTGGATATGTTTTCATCTTTGAATATAAAACAACAGGAAGGAGCATAACCTCGAATCTGCGCGACCAGAATATGTGGAGGTTGCATATGGCCGACTAGTGTTTCCGGTTTGGCAGTGGCATATATTTATTTAAATATTATTGTCAATATTATGGCTCACTCTTTTCGCACTAATCCCAGTACTTGTGATCACTTAAAACTGCTAAAATCCATTAAACATCCACTAGAATGAGGACACAGCGAACCACCAAAGCAAATGATGAGTCATGTAGATTTTTTGTAGATTTCGAGGGAGTCGTTTCGGCTTTTCAGCCGCTCAGCACTGCTACCTTTGCAGATATTTTGTGCGTGACTCTACATCTTAATTTGTCTCCAGGAAGCGTAGACTTCTGCCGAAGGAAGCTATTTTCCTGGGTGTCAGTTGGCCCACTTCTTCTGGTGACAGTGTTGCCCCCTCGAGGAATTTGAGCCTCTTGCAGAATTGGGCTGGACATTCGCAGAGTAGGTGCTCTGCGGTTTCTATTGCGTCTGAGCAGAATCTGCAGAGATCGTCTTCTGCTCTGCCCATTAACCTTAAATGATATTTTAGCAGGCAGTGTCCTGTGAGCGGTCCTACCACCAATCTGATGTTTGGTCTGCTCATGTTAAGGAGCTGTTCAGCTCTTTTTGCTGAAAGGGTAATAAACCTTTTTGACTGTCTGAGTCCCGGTGTGTGCCTCCAATATGATGACAGTTGGCCTTTCTCCCATTTGTTGAGTTCTTCCATGATGTGGCTTTTCATTAAGCCACAGTAGGGCTCTGGTCCGTGGTATGGTGTTGAGGCCCCTTCCTTTGCGAGGCCATCTGCTTCTTCGTTTCCTTCTATGCCTCGGTGACCAGGCAGCCACATCAGCGTTACCTGGTTATGTGTCGCTAGTGTTTTTAGGGTCTGTTTACACTCCCAGACTAGTTTTGACATTCATTTGAAAGCCCTTAAGGCTTTTAAGGCAGCTTGGCTGTCCGATAGTATGAAGATGTGTTTTCTTTTGAGGCTTTGGTTAAGACACTCTTGTGCACATATATCTATGGCAAGCAGTTCGGCTTGAAATATTGTAAGATGTTTACCCAATGCCTTGGAGAGCTTGAAGTTAGGGCCGGAAATGCCCAGTCCAGCTCCTTCCATCAGCTTGGATCCATCTGTGTACCACAGAGATGCATTGTCTGCTTGTGGTAGTTCTTTATTCTCCCATCATTGGCGGTCGTTTATTACCACTGCGAAGGGGATCTCTAAGTCCAATCTGACCATTATGTGGTCACTTGGTTTGCTGGCATTCTCCAGTTTTATTAGATCAAGGATTCTCAGATGTCCCCTCAGATCGCCAGGCTTGAACTTGTCTATTTGGAATAGCCTGTGAGTCATACTTGGAGGCTCAATATGGCCGTTTCCGTCTCTTTGTTATCTGTAGTGACAGATAGAAAACGCTCCTTCCTGTAGTTTTATATTCAAAGGTTTTTATGCATATTTTGAATTATTTTGCTTATTTAATAAAATATTTGTTGACTAGGTACCTAAATTATTAAATCGGGCAGAATCTAGATATTTTTTGTGTTTTTTGGCCCATGTGTGGCCGCCACGCCATCTTGAATGTCACCTGGTTTAAAGGGTCAACCTGTCAAATTTCCATGTATAATGCTACGCCAATAATATCTGAAAAGCATATATGTAGGTACAGTTTGTCTTTTTTTAAAATAATTTTCATTGAAGAAAGATAAAAAATAAATAGCTGAGAGATTAGGTTAATCGGATCAGCTTTTCCTTTAAAGCCTTATTCAACCGTCCATAAAAGTGTTTTTACTACATACGTTTAATTTTTAGCTGATCTTACAGCAAAAAATAGGTTCTTGGTCTTGGTTTATAGTCTATAGTCAGTACCTTCAGTACACTACAATAATAGGTAAATAAAATAAAGCTTACTACGATTTATCTGATTTAGCTTTAAAGGACCATGCACGGATCTTATGAGAAAAAATAAATTTCACGATTATCATGAAATTGAAATATGTTATGCTTCTCGACCTCCTGAACATAAGTTCTCGTAGGCCCAAAAAGATCCTATGATTAGTTTCGGAGATACAGCACCGATAAAAGAAAAAACATTAGCATAAGAAAAATCTCGAGAATCTCCTGGTCACCTGGTAATTAATTTAATTCATAACCAAAAATTACATATTTTTGACATTTTTCGACAAGCTTTTAACCTAAAAAGCTTCGGATGACATTAAGCGGCCTACAGTACAGACGACATGGCAAACATACGCCAACTTCCGCATTTGTGAACATTATCGGATCGTGTGTACAGAAACCGTGCTACGAACTCCGTCCAACGTTGGCGCTGGCCGACGTTCGCCTCGGAGGCGGTATTTCTGGCGCACATCAAAGGGATCAGGTCTCGACTGGCATATATTGGCCAATGCCATTTTCTCCATACACACGAGCGTGCACATTTGTTTGTATGTTTTTGCGAAAGTAGGACCATAGTTGTGGGATTAGTTAACTTTTGGGTTTTTATGATGTCTAGCAGTGCACTTGTGGATAATAGCAACGTTGATGCAGCCGAAATCACAACTTCCAGCTCATCGGAATCCATCTTGTACCGGCATTGAACCAATGCTGGTACAAGTTCGCTATTTTTCACACATAACCAACATTCGCCAACGCTGGCACGTCGTGTGAATGCTTTCAATTTGCGAATGATGACGAATATCCGATTGTTGGCCTCAACGTTGGTCCCAACGTTGGCTGACGTTGGCACACCGTCTGTAGCCACCTTTAGGCATTCCAGGTTGACGTCATAACCGATCCGCCATTTTAGCTGAGGGGCAAACAAAAGCCAAACATAACCTGATTTAATGTTATTTTGCAATGCAAACTATTGCAAACCAAGAATTTTTCAAGTATTATTTTGTGAAGATGCCTTCGTTTTGTGGCGTTTCTGGGCGCTCCAATAGAGCTGAAAGGGATAAAGTGAGGTTTTTTAGGATTCCAGCAGCATTTAAAGATCGAGGGGATCGCATAAACGAGCTATCAAAAAAACAACGGAGTATGCGAATTAGATGCCTCAAAAGGTGAGATTTGACTGTAACGTTGTTGAAAATGATCGAATTTGTTCGAAACATTTTGTTAATGGTAAGTTTTATGACTGTTTTGTTGTTAAAATACAGAAACACTTCATCTCGGTATATCAAAAAAGTTGTTTATGTTTCTACAAGTAATGTCTGCCCAGCGAGTCTGTGTCTACGGGGCAGCGGTAAGGGGAATGCAGTTGTAAAAAAAATGGCTGATTTCATTCATAAAATACCCAGGTGCGTGCGTAACTTTTTGGAGTGTTATCTTATTGCAACTCGTACACGAAAATCAATAATAACCAAACTCCCGCCACTGGATATTTCAATATAAATCAATATTCCAAGATGGGAGGAAACAATGACGGGAGCCCTAGCCAATAGCGAGACGTAAGGTGACGTTAACCCATTGACAACGCCATGGTTCCCCGTGGCAACGGCAATAATGCCAAAAACTCCACCAATCAGGTTCATCCAGGCCGGATGCTTGCCAAATTGACAAAAGGTGATGGAATCTTTAGAAAATGTATATCTTTTACAATAGACCAAATTGAAGAAATCAGGTATTTAAATAAGAATAGATCGAACAACAACGTTAAAATATTTAACGTTTTATTATTGTTATCTATATTTTGTTGATAAAAAATGGATTTTCAAATGAACTATATATCATACCTAGTATTTTCGCTTTTTTATAATTAAACGTGACAACATCGTACATTTACGTCCGAATTCCTTCCGCAGACTCAGAACCACTGGGCAAACAATATATAGGTAACTTTTAATACCTTTTAGGTAGTCCAGCAGAATTTAAGGATATAAACAATCCGGATTGGGTCCCCAGTACAAATTTAGGATATACTACGATAATAGATAAAAGCCCAGAATAAACAAGCCAGTAAGCTAAGCTACATGACAGATCTGTGCACCGATCACAACAGTCAAAACGTTGAGAAGTCATTCTACCACAAATTTATTTTGCTAAAGTTTATTTGTAAGGTTGTTAGTATCAAACTTTTTTATTTTTTAAACAATTTAGATTCTTAAACATTATTTTTGTTAGTAAATTGTTTGTTTACTATTGTTGAATTGAAATGTAAAGTGGCATGTCTGTAAATAAAGATTCATTCATTCATCCATTCACAAAAACTAAAAACAACTTAAAATTTATTGAATAAATCAAAAAACGCAAAAATTCCAAAGCACAAACTCAAAAAACGTGAACAATAATGATCTGTAGGCTGTTTGAGTCATTGCCTAAACTCAACATAGGTATTTTGAAATGTTAATTTTTTATCAAAATTTTTATGTTAACCCGGCCCTGTATCTCCGAAACTAATAATAGGATCTTTTTGGGCCAACGAGAACTTAGGTTCAGGAGATCGAGAAGCATAACATATTTCAATTTCATGACAATCGTGAAATTTATTTTTTCTCATAAGATCCGTGTGTGGTCCTTTAAAAAAAAACAATATTTCCATAAGTTCCCGAAAGTTTCCAATATTCCCGGAAAGTTCCCGAGAATGTTCGCGGCTTTTGGATGGGAATTTTACATCACTACAGCTGAGTAAACTGAGATATAAAAAAATAGAATACTTACTTGGCTTTAAAAGTTGAAAAACTTATTCAATGAAAATCTAGAAAAACGTCTTTTTGAACTTTATCTAATAACGGAATAACAGAGAATCCATGAATCACGAAACATTAAAAAATTACAAAAATATCCTCGAAAATATCCAAAAAACTCAAAAACCACAAAACATAAACAAAAACAAAATATAGACTTGTGATGACACTTGACAGCTGACATGATGATTTCCAATTGAGGTTTGTTCGTTTGTTCAAATTTAACTTTACTGCTCCCAAAGCGCTCCCCGCACACCACAACTGGGCGATGACGTCACAGAACTTCGTAGAAAACCGAAATTTCATGCTTCCGTTTTCCGACGTCCGAAAAACCTTCTATTCTGACATATTTTTATACCTACCTAATATGTAAGAATAGAAGATTCTTCGGATATAGGACGTCGGAAAACTGATGCACGAAACTCGCGCTACGTGCGAAATGCAGGAGCGTTCTATTGCTCAAATCGAACACGTGAATCTCGCATCTCGCCGACAGTAACGCTCCGTTTTAAGCCAAATATGTGAATCCGTTTCGGATCGGTTTTTGATCAGTCTGATCAGTAGGGTGCAATTATAGGCGGTTACACACGGACGTGGATGACTTGATACATATACGTGCATATGTCGCAGGCTTATTGTAAAATCAGTCTTATTATAATACGCCTAGGCTTTTTCAATAAGACTAGGCATATCGTAATACTACCCAAATACTTAAGAATTTTACAATTAGACTAGTAATTTCAGTCGTATTATAATACGCCAGCTGCGTGTTAGTCTTATTGTTTAAATGAACCTGCATTAGAATCTGACTAGATGAAATCCGTCGTATTATAATGCGACATGCGACTGACAGTGTGGCAGTCGAATAATATTAATTATTATTGTTGATTAGTTTTATTTGTGTAATATTTGTACCTGAACTGTAGTGAGAATCACGAATGGAGATTATGAAATTGGTACCATACACGACTTAATCGATGGTTTTCAAGGGATTAAATCTTAAATCACTGACTGCCAAAGTAGGTAATGAAATAATTGATATTCCAGAAAGAGAAACAAAGATACATGTTGCGCTGAAGGGTAGCTTTCCTATTATTTATGCTACAGAGACGAAATTTGGAAAAAATACTTTAAACTTTGGTGATTAAGATGTCTCTTTGGCATAAAGAATAAGAAAGTTAGCATTCAGCACAATATATCGGCCAAAAGGCACATTGAAAATTTTATTCAATACAATTCGCCTGGTGCACTATCAGTCGTATTATAATACGACGGATCTCATCTAGTTGGATTCTAATGCAGGTTCATTTCAACAATAAGACTAACACGCAGCAGGCGTATTATAATAAGACTAAAATTACCAGTAGTCTAATTATGAAATTCTTAGGTATTTGGGTAGTATTACGATATGCCTAGTCGTATTGAAAAAGCCTAGGCGTATTATAATAAGACTGATTTTACATTAAGCCTGCGACACATACATCAACGTGCATGGCGCCTTTGGGGCGGTTACACACGGGCGTGCATGGCTTAATACATAGGTATACGTGCATACATCAACGTGCAAACAACAACGTGCATGGGCGGTTACACACGGACGTGGATGTCTTAATACATATACGTGCATACATCAACGTGCAAACAACAACGGGCATGGCGCTTTTGTACAGACGCTCGCACAAAACTGCAGTCTTGCTATCTTGCTACGGTGTTCCGAGTGTGCATACAAAATTGCACATTCAAAAACGCGACGATATTTTGCATAAACATTCATGTTTTTGTTTGCACGTTCATGTATGTGCGTACATGTTTTCAGACATCAACGTCCGTGTGTAACCGCCTCATGGCGCCTTTGTACAGACGCTCGCACAAAACTGTAGTCTTGCTATTCTTGCTACAGTATTCCGAGTGTGCATACAAAATTGCACATTCAAAAACGCGACAGTATTTTGCATACACATTGATGTTTTTGTTTGCGCGTTCATGTATGTGCGTGCGTACATGTTTTCAGACATCCACGTCCGTGTGTAACCGCCTTTGTACAGACGCTTGCACAAAACTGCAGTCTTGCTATTCTTGCTAAGGGCGGTTACACACGGACGTGGATGTCCTAATACATATACATGCATACATCAATTCGTGCAAACAACAACGTGCACGGCGTTTTGTACAGACGCTCGCACAAAACTGCAGTCTTGCTATTTTTGCTACAGTATTCCGAGTGTGCATACAAAATTGCACATTCAAAAACGCGACGGTATTTTGCATACACATTGGGCCTATTCGGGTTTGGAAAAAGTACGGTTCTAGAACGGTCCAAAAGAATCGCACAGTTTATTATTGAAATTTGTGATAGCCGAGTCGTTGTTATTTTGTTGATCAATAAGCTGTACGATTGTTTTGAACCGTTCTAGAACTGTCCTTTTTCCAAACCCGAATAGGTCTATTTGATGTTTTTGTTTGCACGTTCATGTATAAGGCGGTTACACACGGGCGTGGATGGCTTAACACATATACGTGCATACATCAACGTGCAAACAAAAACGTGCATGACGCCTTTGTACAGACGCTCGCACAAAACTGTAGTCTTGCTATTCTTGCTACAGTGGCCGAGTTCGTTTTTGTCATCTTTTTTGTCGATTTGCTCCGAAATTTTGACAGGCATGTGACTGGATAAGACAGTTTCAATTTACAAATCACGTGCCTGTCCAAATTTCGGAGCAAATCGATGAAAAAGATGACAAAAACGAACTCGGCCAGTAGTGTTCCGAGTGTGCATACAAAATTTCTAGCGATTGCACATTCAAAAACGCGACGATATTTTGCATACACATTGATGTTTTTGTTTGCGCGTTCATGTATGTGCGTACATGTTTTCAGACATCCACGTCGTGTGTAACCGCCTTATGAGGCAAAAGCTGAAAACGCTATTAATTTTATCTGAAGTAGGTGCAAACATTTTTACCGCGTAGAAAGAGTAGCTCCAAATGTTCTGATTTAGACTAATCTGTACTCGGTGCAGGGTGCAAGCTCATTCTCGTTTGTTTATTAAAATTTCTGGCATTCATGATAAGGGCGTTCAAGTGCTCTGTTCGCTCGCTGGTCACGTCATTAGGGCTCCGTTCAGCACGCTCTGCTCTTTGAGCAAAATACCGAACACAAGGATAACAGGGAAAAATTAAACTTGCAACAAAAGATATTGCGAATTTTAAAAAATTCCACCGCAAAAAGTTAATAATGCACGCAATATTTTCGCGTCCTGTTAAATATAAATATTTTCGTGCAATAAATAAAGTTCCGCAAAATGAAAAATCGTGCAAAAAAAAGGGTTTTGTCAGCGGATTATTTCAAAAATCCCGTATCCACAATACGGAATGGAGCACTTCCGCAGAGATCTATGACGTCACCGCCCAGACCGGGAGCGCTCTGGGAGCAGCAAAGCCAAAAATCTTATATAATTTTCAGCCGTTGTTAACTGTCCAAATCTTTGAATATAAAACTACAGGAAGGAGGTTTTTCTATCTGTCACTACAGACAACGCAGGGACGGAAACGACCATACTGAGCCTCCAAGTATGACCCATCATTTGTTTTGGTGGTTCGCTTTGTCCTCATTCAAGTGAATGTTTAATGGATTTTAGCGCTTTTAAGTGATAATAAGCACTGGGATTAGTGTGAAAAGAGTGAGTCATAATATTGACAATCATATTTAATAGTTATTTACATTACTCGTGTGATTAGAAAGACTCGGTCTACGACCTCGTCGTTCTAATCCTTCACACTCGTTATTGTAATCATGTTTAAATGCACGTGTGATGTACAGCGTTTTATCTACAAAGCGAAAAATAAGAATATTTTTCCAATTATTTTCGTTCATTAATAGTTGTCTATACCTTCATTTTACCTTTACAGGCTTACCTTTGACATTTGTCAAATCACCAAAAATAGTTGTGTTATAGACTCATAACCTCGTCCATAACACCACTAGTTGTGTTATGAATTCATAACCTAGTCTATAACACCACTAGTTGTGTTATGAGTCTCATGACGTAACTCAAATACTAGAAAAATGGTTATGTAAAAACGTCATGACGAAACGCTTGTAGATAAATAAATATACGCCACTGCCAAACCGGAAATACTATTCGGCCATATGCAATCTCCACATATTTTGGTCGCGCAGATTCGAAGTTATGCTCCTTCCTGTAGTTTTATATTCAAAGGTTGTGACAAAACAAAACCACGTTTGTAAACCCTGTGAATAAAATGAAATATGAACCAAGGGTACGGCTTTTCAACAGAGAGTTGGAGTGGAGTCAGAGCACGTTTCTGTCACGACGGGTTCTTGGTTCTCGGATTTAAAAAAAGCCTTTATTTTGAGCTGGGTTCGGCTTGCACACTCCGTGCACTCCGAGTGAGTCCGATCGCACCTCAACTGTTCGCGTATTGCCTTTTAACGAATTAGACAACGGCTGGAGTGCACGGAGTGTGCAAGAAAAAACACAGCATAAGTGACTCAACGAACAGTTCCGGAGCTTGTGACTCTTCCATACTCTATTTCAATTTCCGGCTCCCGGTACAATCCGAACACAGATTTCTTGCCCAGAGTCATATTATGGCAACTTTGACAGTTACTCTATCTACTCTTAAAAAAATCTTTTCCCGAAGCGAAAAGCGAAGTAAAGTGGACTCTGGAGCGAGCCTCATTTTCTCGACTCCGTAGTACATTTACGCTAAAAAGCCTACCCGAACAGTCGTAATGCTTTTCTCGGGTAACGGGTAAGATTTTCATACTCGAACGCAGCAGCTTACAGACAGCTGGCTGGAAAAATTTGTTTATGTTTATATTTAAAACCGTGCTTTGGAAAATTTATAGTTTTTTCAAGCTCTTTCCAATTAACCGTAATTTTTCCTATTGAAAAGAGCTGATAGATAAAAAAAGTTGTATATAGAAACAGAATTAAAAGTTACAAAGTGGATTTTAGTTGGTTGAAAATACAAAATTCCGTTTTATATCCTATAATGTAAGTAGAATGTCTCTTATCTATTCTTAAATAACGAGATAAAATTCAGGAACAAGAAAAGTTTTCAAATATAAATAGAGATGGAACTCAAAAAACTAAAAGAACAAACGAGACGGCAAGAAGCAAAACACCAAGAGGTTGTGAAAAAACAACAAGAAATGCTCCAAGAAGAAAAAAAGCTGCAGGAAGCAAAAGAAAAGAAAAAACTGAAAAAATTACGTCAAGCCCAAAAACGCCTACAAAATGGCATGATCGAAGAAACATTTCCTGCAATGGTTACTATCAAAAAGGGAACCGGTAAAGAAAATACACCTCCTTCGTTAACTGTAACATTTCAAGGATGCACAGCCACTCAGGAAAAGTTGTTAACCTCATTAGTCGAAACACAACAAGATGAATCCAGCAATGATAAAACTAAAGGTAATTTTGATGAATTTTTTTTAAATGCCTCCATAACATACAAAATTTTTATTATTTCAGGTGGTAACAAGCAAACTAAAAACAATAATTCGAAGCCTAAACAAGAAGCTGCAAAACTTCCACAGCTTTCAAACGGACCAAGAGTGATTTCGAAAAATGTAAATGTGGCCTTAGCTGTTCGAATTGAGCAGGAGCCAGTGGGAATTCCAACTGGTGCAAAATCTGAGGAAAAATCCACAAAAAAGTCACAAGAAAAAGTTAAGTGTGAAAGAGGCCTGACAAGGAAAGAATTTAAGTCTTTTGGAAATCTAGTATTGCCTCCAGGTATGTATTTTTTTTAGGAAAATTCTTTATTATTTATTTACATGAAGTATCAACAGTATAACCTGTTGTATACTTTGTGGTACCTATTTTTTTTTCTATTAAAAGTGTCCAAATTGACCCACCCTGTATAAAATAACTTCTCAATAGCGTACACCCGCGGTGGATCCCTCCACATTGTGTTTAAATTGAACAGTTCGTATTGTATATATATACTGGTATCCTCGATATTACTAATCTCAATATATTTTAAATAGTTTTGGGTAAGTTATCTATGATATGAAAGTAATTTTACATATAAGTACAGGGTGAATTAAAAAAAAATCTAGTGAAATATGTAGGTATTTGTTTTAAACAGGACACCCTATATATTATCATTTTTGGATTCTACGCAAAATTCTAGATACATTTCATACATAATGTTTAATGTGCCTTATCTAAATTTCTTTAGGCTAGAAACAATTGAAAATCGTAGGCTTTGTTCGGGCTTGAAAAAAGGACTGGAATGGTTTAAAACAATCGCACAGTTTCATTATTAAAATTTGTGATAGCTGGACTGTTATCATTTTGTTGATTGATAAACTTTGCGATTGTTTTGAATTGTTCTAGAATCGTCCTTTTTTCGAACAATCAGAACCATAGAGAAATATAATAAACCAAGGTAAGAGTACCTGATTGATAACATGAAAGTTTGTATAGCGCTGACGTCACAGTGACGGTGGCGTCAATAGTGGCAGCCGGAACAAATACTGAAATGGCGGGAATTTTGAAATTTAACTTGAGTTGATTGCACAAAAAAACTTACTTATGTTGTTCCACATCTTTTTTTCTCAAATCCGAATGAGAAAAATGAAGTGGTACTCCATAAAGTTTTGTGCCATTTTTTCATGTGGATTAAAAAAAAAAGGAAAAATAAACACTAAATTGTACGAGAAAAAATATATATTATAGCTAGATAGGTCAAATACGTAAAGAGTTTACAGACACAGTTATTACATTCCTTATACATGCTTTAATGTATGTACAAGCTAAGCTGGCCAAGGCCTGACATCTACATTTTATCTCTTCTGCTGACTGAGGTCTCCTAAAACAGTAAAAAAATATGCCGTATATCACAAAACTAACATGTATACTTACTGGTTTAGTTTATCCTATTGTACATAATATTATAGGTACGCTATACCGAGTGCCTTAATAAAAATGACAATTTCTTCTTCTTGTTCTTTAGATTTTGTGAGTTCGAGTCTTCTAAGACGACCACCCAATCGGTTAAAAATGACAAATTTCAACACAGAAATGTCGTTATTTTAAGGTTACTTATTTGTTTTCTCGGCCACAGTTTCTATAGTTATGGATGTTTGATAGGTTTCTACAAAACAGCTCGGAAAGCTCTGTAACTCATACAGTGTCCTTGTCTTGTGAATTGGTATGACAGAGAAAGATAAAACAGAATCGAATGATCGGACTGATCTTTCGTAAGTCTCTAGCTTTCCAAAAATTCCGCAATGCGCTATGCGCAACCGGATGCGCAGTAATAGTATAACCTATTTCGGCTATACTTTTGAAGGTCTTTTTATTTTTTATTGTCTATGATCAGAAGCATTTCAACTATTGAGACAGAATAAATCAAGGGATAGATTAACCATTGTAAAACTCTACCAAAATACAGGGAACACAATATTTAACAACGGAACGGTTTTAGTAAAATAAATTACGAGATAAATTATTATCATTTTATTCAGATTTGGGACGAGTTTATTTACCTTCTGATAAACTGTCAGGTATGCAATCTGACAGAAAAAAACTCAGTCTGTACTTAATCCTATTGTTTGACCAGTTATAATCTGGCCAATAGAATTATAGAACTGTAAATCCATCTTCAGATAAACTTGCTGGTAACTGCCAGAGTTTTGGAAAAATAACTATCTATAGAATAATGAATAATAATAAATATATTACAAACTATGATGTGATCTTTGTTTTCAACAATGTATAATCGTTTGTTTTTCTGGTCCGTTTACATAACACCATTTCATATAGCCTATATGTACTTTATTTTTTTCCAAGCTAGATTTTGGCATTGTCAATTTTGAAACATAAACAATGCCACTAATGCCGCTTATTGGTCGCTATTGGAAAACTGATGTCAACCTGCAGAAACACCTCATTTTGCGACCAATTAGGGTCAAGCGTTATTGTTTATGTTTCAAAGTTTTCAATGTCAAAATCTATCTTGGGAAAAAATAAAGTATAGGTATCTCGCTAGGTATACATAATCATAATGAATGGCATTACAAAAAAATTACATGACATTATTATGTAATTATGGCATTACATTGGAATTACCGGAATTACTTATGTAATACGCAATATGTACAGGGTATTTAATTATATTTGGACCCATTCCTACAGCCTGTATTATTTAAGATAGAAAAAAAATTTAAATACAAAACTTGAATGTTTTTTCCTATATTTTCTTTTAGAGGTATCAGAAAAAACAAAATCGCATCGAAAAATGGAGAAACATAGGCGACTTCGACTTTTTTTAATGGAACACCCTGTATATTATGCGATAAAATTAAAGATCTTTTCTTCTTGATTCCAAATATGTATATATACAGGGTGTCCACTTAGTGCGATATCGGACGATATCTCCTCACAGGGTGATGCAAGAAAAAAAATGTATAACTTACAAAGTTGTTTGATACTCTAATATGCATTAGTTGAAAATATTTTTAAATTTACAGGGTGCTCCGTTTATGGGATATGCGACAGAACTTTGTCATTTTAAATGGAACACCCTGTATGTGATTGCATATTTAAATTCTACGTAAAATTCTGAGCAGATTTTATGTAATATACCCTATACCTAAGTTCAACTGTTTTGGAAATATTGACAGTTGAAAATTGACTTTTTGCAACTTTGACAGGCTTTAAAACCTGAACGGTGATTAAAAAGTCCAGTTAAATTTAATTTCTGGTTAAATTCAAAGTTGGTGTCAAGTGATAGTTTATAAAAATCTAAGACAGGAGAGTAAAATCGGTTCTCGTCTAAAATTAACCGTTTAGGTTTTACAGCCTGTCAAAGTTGCAAAAAGTCAATTTCCAACTGTCAATATTTCCAAAACAGTTGAACTTAGGTATAGGGTATATTACATGAAATCTGCTCAGAATTTTACGTAGAATCCAAAAATACAATCACATACAGGGTTTTTTTTATTTAAAATAACAAAGTTTTGTCGCATACCCCATAAACGGAGCACCCTATACCAGGTGTCCCACTAAGGTCGGCCAGGTACGATATTATGGAAACCATAGACCTTACTGCTTCGGGATTTTTTTTTCTTCACTAAATCGGCCAAGAGAAATTGATGGAAATTATTTTCAAGTTTCTAGGATGACCGCTAGGGGGCGCAATTACGATGATATAGGTAAAAATTCAACCTTTCTCAAGAAATCGCTATATTAAGATACTGTTTTAACAACAGAAATCAAAAGTTAATTAATTTTTGCGCCAGTTTGGTATTAGGCTTTTTTTCGTATCTTCAGTAATAAGGGTGGGGGAAGCTGGTGAATTTTTTTTTGTTGTAATTGCTGTATCTTCCATACCCCTCATTCAAACTCATTCAATTTGGCTTTATTTGGAAGAGAATTTCATTGTTATTAAAAACACCACTTCGTTCGAGGTCGATAGTTCCCACCGCGTCTGCTAGAGGGCGCTGTTTATTCAAGATCCAGTTTTTCCTAATTTTCATGAAAAATCCAAATGGCATAATATTATTTTTGTATTGCTGTGCTTAAAGAGCAAAAAAATATCTACATTTTGGCGCAAACCGCAATTCAATATCTGCATTCGTTTTCAAGTTACGTGAGGTCTATGGTCTCCATAATATCGTACCTGGCCGACCTTGGTGGGACACCCGGTATATTCAAAAATATTTTTAACTTATGCATATTAGAGTATCGAACAACTTTGTAATTCAATTTTTTTTCTTGCATCACCCTGTAGGAAGATAAGGTCCGATATCGCACTAAGTGGACACCTTGTATATTAATCACATTTGGGTGACCGGTTTTTGATATAACTTAGCTTAAATTTATAAATAAAATCCAAAGAAATTTTATAAAGATTTAAATGTCTTGACATCGTTATGAAATTTCTTTGCAAATTATTTATAATTTAAGCTAAAATATGTCAAAAATGGCTCACTCAAATGTGATCAATATACAGGGTGTTCCGAAATATCATGTACAAATGGAAGGGGGTGATTCTTTGGTTCATTTTATTACTAAAATTTCTAATAAACATAAGTCCGCAAACGCTTCGTTATTGATCTACAGGGTGTTGAAATTTTAATATATTTATATTGAAAATGAGCAAGAATATGGCGGCGAGGGGTTGTCTTACCTCTAGATTCCTATTGAAAATGAGCAATAATATGGTTGCGGACCTCTATTGTCGTCACTATAGGTAGAAAAGGTTTATTGAGTCACTATGTAGTTTCATCTAGCTAATTACAGATATTTGTTTTTCAATTTTTTTTTTTGATAAGGGTCGTTGATACCAGTGATACGAAAAAAGTACAAGAGAACAAAAAGTTTATGAATAAGGTAGAAAAAGTATTTTGTTTCTTAAATCGACCAGCGGCGCGCCGCGAAAAAGTTCAGTGGCAGAAAAGGGGGCATGACCCCTGTAAAAACATCACCCCATAAATTCTGGCAAACGTTTGACATGTGCAATCATTCAGCTCCTATTGCGAAACTTATATTCTAAATTTGAGCTCAATCCCTCAAAAATTGCAGGAGCTATAAAAAAAAACTAAAAAAATAATAAAATTTCAACACCCTGTAGATCGGTAACGAAGCGTTTGTGGACCTATGTTTATTACAAATTTTAGTCATAAAATAAACCAATAAATCACCCCCTTCCGTTTGTACATCATATTTAGGAACACCCTGTATATACAGGGTGTCCACTTAGTGTGATATTGGACGATATCTCC